CCTTTTATGACCTTTCGGGAAGGACCGATCAATTCATATAAATTGCGCTTAAGGCGAAAACCTTTTTTGTTTAATTTTTTCATTTCAGACTTTAAAATCGAAGAGTGCCACAGAACCTTTTTCCAGGGGTCTGTAGGAAAAACGTACTGCTGGCCATGTAATTTTACCTTTTTCCTGAATATAAATGTCTCTTTGTTTCACAGTGATTGAAGAACTATGACGGACCTATCGAATGACACGGAGTAGCAACATTTCATTAACCGTATTCGATTCGAGGTAAGGCAATGGAAGCTGGCGCACAATTCACTGGATTGCTGAGAGACTCGCCGACGTGGTGTTAGGCGGGTTACGGGAAACTGGAAGACCGACCTGAGAAACCGTCGCAAGGTAGCAAGGATATCATCATGACCAGCACTGGCAAAAGACGTCGGAGGAATGCAGATGCTGCGGCGGACATTTTTGCAGAAGAGAGAAAATGTTTTTCCACGTGAAACTGTGAGAGGATATCGTAAAATAACAGCATTAAAACACTTTCCCGCCGTGATTCCTAATTCCATGAAAACGCGTCAAATATTGGGAACCGCATCTGATCTGGTTATGTAATTACAGGGGCTGTGGAATAAACGGATTATTTGTGTGCTTTACGGCAAAGAGAATAATGTGGGCCATGAAAGAACAAGAGCAGCCATCGCCGGAATGGTGATTATTTCAGGGATGCAGTTTTACAGTAGCAGTTTTCCCTTTTTTGTGAGACCTTGGTATTGATCCAGAAGACGACTGTTTCCTCCATGACAAAGCGTAAGGCGGAAACCAGACTTTTAATCCGGTAGATAGATGGGTAGACGATCAAAACCGTCACACAAGGAGATTTTTTTTTCTTTCAAAAACTTGCCCCTATAAAGTGTCTATCCAACTAGTGTTTCTGTTTTACTTTTTAGCACCCCCACGTTAGTAAGGGAGGAAAAAAGTGACCCCCCCCCCCCGTTTTGACGGAAACACGTTTTGAAGCACCAGAATCCGAATTAAAAAAATCTCGATTATGTCGAACAATCTGTCGGTCTGTCTCTCTGTACTCTCATTTCCGGCTAAACGCCTGAACCAATTGGAGTCAAATTTGATACACATATTCTTAGACATAAAAGGGTAGAATCGCGCATACGCAAGTGTGCGGGTGGTATCTGTGCTAGTCACACCCAGTTAATTTCGAATTTAATTAAATTCCCCTGCAATCAATATAATAAGTTAAAAAGTCATTATGAGCGTTATTTTTGGCGTAAGTGGAGACCTGGGACGCGTTCCTTCCAAGCTCGCGTTATGAAGTCTAATTGTAAAGGCGCGGTTGCCTGCGTCTGTGTAATCGCTACAGCAAAAAGAGCGCGCCTGCACACAGCAGTATTTATTTAATACCAATTTCGTTAGCAAAAGGGCCAAATACGTTGCTTTGGTGCATGTTTGGAACATTTTTTGGATAATTTCGTTAAAAACGTTCTCCGCCTTGATGGATAGGAGTAACATGTGAAATGTTTTTTTAACAAAATGGCAGAATAATGAGACGCATTTATACATGAACAAAAATGCCGCCTGGCGTACTTCCAAAATCTACGCCATATATGCAAAAAGAATCAAACCCCAACAGAAGTTCTTCAAAATATTACATTTTCCTTTTGTCACAATGAAGTTTTTACGCTCTGAAAGCTTTGACATCACCAATAGATGTCTTGTCCTGACGTTTCACTTGGTCTTTATGAGTATAGGTATATACCCTCTTCCGACACTTCGTTTTCTAGATACCCGCTTCGATTTTACCAATATATATGACTCGTCCGGACAATTCATTTTGCCTTTCAGAGTACTTTTCTCCGACAAACCGTTTTCGCTCTTAAAGTTTTGACGTCACCAATGGATATGTATTTCCCCCAGACGTCCCAAATCGTCCTTTGTGAGGTACCTCCGACAATCTGTTCGTGAGGTATTAAGGAATTATATCCAATCACGATAAGCAGTCGAAGAGAAGGATTATAATTGGTAGATATTAATTCATTTAGTTGAGACCTTTCCTTAGATTAGAGTAGGTACCATGAAGGATAAAACTCGTCTAGTGACAAGGGGTGAGAAAGAATGGTGGTAGTTTGTGGAAAACAATTTCAATTCATTTCGATGAGACCTTTCATTAGACTACCATAAAGGGTAAAACTGTAGAACGCGTTTTCATCTCCACGCCCCCCACAAACACTTTTAAAAGTTTTGCTTGGTACCAGTAAAGGCATCATGCGTGCGCTAAATGTAAATGTAAAAGTTATGCACGTTTTATACTTTCAAAAACAGCATCTCAGTAAATAATTCATTGCTCCCCCCCCCCTCACCCCCCGTAAGACAGCAAAATTTGATGGCCGTCTTGCACACCTTCAAGGCATAGGTTATACCTATTAGGTACACAAAAAACAAAAGACGCATAAAACGCAAACTATAGCACTTTTTTTTAAATCTTAATGGTCTCAAATGGAACATTTTCCATCCAACATTTAATTGGAAGATCACGTACGTTAGGAGCTTATTCAGGAGCGTGATTTTTCACGCAAATGAACACGTGACTATAAAGTGCCTATTAATGAATCTATCTCCCCCAACGGAGGTTCGCCTATATTCGTATATAAAAGTGAAAAAACCTTGGAGAAAAGTGACCTAACAAAAAAAATCGACGGACGTCGTTTCGTAAATAAGATGAGTATTGATTATGCGAAAAAGCACCTACCTACGCTATGACCGTAAGGAATGACAAAGCCTTGGCGTAATATTTACACCGTTAAGGTGGCATTTTCCCTCATATATGTAAGTACTTTAAATTCAAGTTTCGATCACGCTGTACAACAATAGCTAGGGTTTCAGAAATGATCAATACCCAACTACCCTTAAAATTTGAACCCGGATTGAAAAATTGCGCCCTTTCATGACGGTGACGGAACGGAAACGTGATTTTCGATCTTCCCCTAAAACAATAGGATTCCAGATCCTCGTGCGAATTGCGACCTGTATCGAAAAGACAAGAAAGCCTTACACCCACACACACATTTTTTTTAAATATCGTAAATATCGACGCCATTCATAGTTTTTCTTGTGGAAAAAGTTGTTTACTTAATACTTTCTTCTTCAATAAAGAACGACTTTCAGATGACATTATATTATATATAAGTATTCGGAATTTTCAAACTAGACTATTTATCCGGCTCATATCATTGAATTTATAACTAGTTATATATAAATAAATACAATATAACGAAATCGATTGGTGAACGTTTCAGGTCGCAAGCTCTTTTAGTTCTCAAATTACACACCAAATCGACGAACAGACGAGTGACATCCATGAGAATTAAGTATAGTTTAGTGTTATTTAGTTACCTATTTATTGTATTAGGTATATACTATTTTTGTTATTCCAAATTGCTTATATCCTAGTTAGTAAATCTTCAGAGGCCCTTTGTAACAGATTACCGTCAATTATATTGCCCTACCTAGAGCATCTGTTTCCCACATAGTGCAAAAGTTCGCTTTATTAAACACTGTGATATTCATCAGTATGATACTCGTAATAAAGATCAAGTCCTTTTGTCGTCTAGTTAAAACTCAGAACAGAACTGATATTATTAAAAAAATGTATAATTTCATTCCCCTTAATGTAAAGTCACTACCATATAATTTATTTACAAATAAGATAAAAACTTTCCTTATTGGTAAAGATTTTTATTCGTACGATGAGTTCTTTAATTATGACTTACGCTATTTAGAATAATATATTACTTGTATTTATACACGATGTATATTGACGATTGTAAGTGGCATCACAGCACATGAATAAATATTATTATTATTATTAATTTTCCCCACGGAAATTTCCGATTTGGGCCATTGCCAAGAATTGGTGAGTACGGAAATGGATGGATCTATTGCTTTGTAGTATTTATGGATTGAGATACCCATCTATGGGTAGAAATATGTCTACCTGAACCACAATACCTATTTAGGTATGAGGTTTGTAGACAGTAGGGTTATTAAACATTATTACCAACTAAACAGTCGAAAAATTTGGAAGCCAATAAAATCCTAAAATGCAGCAAATGTTTATTTAATGACAACACTGAATGTATGGTGACGCGCGGCGCTTTTATTATTATTATTATCCGACAAGATGCAAAATGACCCCCCCCCCCCAGAAAAATCTCTCCACTGTTGCTGTAAGCAATAGTATTATGAAATGGAACAATAAATGCTTATACAATAACATAATAATACAATACAGTAATAAGTCGCTAAATTCTATAATTCATCCCAGAATATATGCCCCATGGTGTATATTTAATGATTATTTGCTCAAAAAACTGGCATCCAAGAGACCCTGTTCTTGCAAAGACCATCACTGCTGCACCTCGGCCACGGTCATTCCGGCTTCGGTGGTCCCGGGAACAATGTACATACTGGCTTCGGACTCATGGTAATATGAACTCTGCGATCAGGGAGATGGGAAACATTATTTAAGACGCGGTAAACATATGAAACAAATTCGTGACTATTATATTGAAACAATTCACTGGAATTAAGTTTTCTTATTCATTATTTTATAGACCGCAATTTTCTCTTCCAAGATATACAATCTGAATAGAGACTATATTATCAAGGTGAAATTATGCCATTTATAACCGATGCCGGGAAAGCAATGCACCGGCTGCACCCTACTTAAAACATTTTCAATGGAACAATGCAATTTTTTCATCCTTGAATACATTTTAATTTTCTTCGCATAATTGATGGTAAGGTGGTTACTTTAAACAAAGTGAAATGCAACTCGTGTTTAATGGATCGTACTTGAAGGAATGCTAAGATTTGCTAAGTATGTATTTATTTTATACAACATAATAAACTATATTGGAGTATAAATATGTAATAAGGATAAAAATAAGCAATACAATATTGAGCAAAAAATAAATATCACAAAGATAAAATTTATTATCTATAACAATAGAAAAATGTACCATTAATAAATAAAAAAATTTGTTATAGTTTAAACAAAATCAGTTCTGAATTGTCATAATCTTTAACAATTAGATTGTTGCGCTAGTAGACAATAAGTAGTAATTAAAAAAGTACGCTTAGCTACAAACTTTAACCGACGAGGAAAATAGCTGAAAGGACTCAACAGTAGTACTTAAATATAACCCATACATTATTGAAGCTAGTATTTAAATATCACATAATCACACGAAATGAAGCATCCTAAACAGTATGTATCCTGCCAGTTATAATGGTTTCTTCTTCTATATTTGTCTCTTGCCTATTAGAAATGGAACTTTTATTAACAAAATTATTACTATCGCTAGTACTAGAGTTTATATTTTCCTCGTAACCCTCCTGAATAACACACCCATTCGCTAAATGCACATCAAGACTATCCACGGACTCTTCTATATGATTTGAACAATGTTCCTCTTCATTTATATTTTCATTTGTAGCTTCGAGACCTTTTTGAACATCGGGACTAACCAATAGATTACTCCACCAGTTTGAGAACGCTCCTTTTGCTTGAGATAAAGCGCCGCCTTTAAAAAGTATGAGTATTAATTATGTGATATACAAGGTGAACTATTGACAAATGGCCATAGTTAAATAGTGTGGACTTGAACCACTTACATTTTTCAAATTGTTATCCAGTATAAACTATAAACATTAAAAAGCAAAGCACAGAACTTGGTATACTTACCAACGGCTTTACTTGTGGTTGCAACAGCTCTTCCTGTCGATGCCATCGCTTGGTTGAATTTCCTACCTCCTTCACTATTTTGCATTGTGCTGTGGCAAACAAACAAAAATAAAGATAACATGCACAATGCAGAGACTTACTGCGCTAAACGTAACTTCATGTCGGATACAGATAATTGGCCAGCAAACGGATGACCTGCACTGATACTGTCCAACCCGGAATGATCCCTACTTCTCCATATTTTAAAACAATGTGTATCCTTTAGAGCTGTCATGTAAGTAATATTAAAATGTTCCATTTCTCTACTTCCATCTAAACATGAATCTTGGTTTAATAACCACCCTGATAATTAACTTTTCACTTACCTGGCAAAGATGAAGTTTTTAAAAGGTATAAAAGGTAAATTTTAAATTGAGCTCTTATCCATTCATCGCCACCTTCCCATCCAACTCCATCCAAGAAAACATCATGTTTGTCCTCAGAAACGTGTTTCACTATATAATCGGCAAACCTCAAATCTTCGGTGGTTAAATGTAACTGCTTCCTCAAGTCAATATCCTGACATTCAATTTTCATATTTTCAATATCCACTAGAACATCACTAAGCTGCCTTTTTTGTTTAAATAATATATTAGTCGCGCCAACTACGTATCCCCGAACTTTCATATCGTTTAGTAAATCCAAGTATGGTAGCGATAAATATGGAAGACATAGACAACCCTTGGTAAAAATAGGCAATGGAACACCACAATGTTCGAGATCGATTTGAGCCAAAAGATTTAGACTATTCTGTACATTCTCTCCAATAGCCTCGTTACTTACATCTCTACATAGATTTTTATCGGATTCATTAGTTTTATTCGGACTGGCGGTTTCAGTAACCTCAACGCCAATTTCAGTATGAACCTCCGATATCAAATTTGCATTTGTTTCGTCAACATTTTTATTCTCCTCAATATCGTCCTCCTGTCGATGAATTGAATTATCCATAGCGACGTGATTGTTCGGTTTGTGAGTGGGCGTCGACACTGGACTATCGTCATCTGAAAAATCGGGCATCGGCGACATCGGGCGCGATAATCTAAAGAGAAAATAAATGCATCGTGGACAGTAAGATCGTTTCGCTACTCACTTAACAGACGCAGATTGCTCCAGACCCTTTTCGATCATAAGGGGGTGGAGAGAGAGCAGCGTAAGAATTGTGGAGCAAAGTGGCTGAACGGGTGAACGGTAAAAAATTACTCTTCTCTCGAGCAGAAGCAGTTTAAATAAAAGCAGCGCTTTGTGCCTCCACTGGAGTATCAAATCTCGTGCAGACAACCCTACAAGATATAGTATTTCACTTAAGCTAAGCTTCTTATTTATAAGAATATTTATACCATAACTTATTTTCCTTTGTACACATAAATAATCCGATCGATTTATGGAAAATGCGCTAAAGTTACTCGCCTTAAGGCCAAATCCTTTTTTTTTCATTCTTTTTAATATATCGCCAGTGATTTGGCGGTATCCCGAAGTTTGCTTATTATGCCAACTTGAGAAATTACTTTCTGAAGAAAACTTCAACTTGCATGGTGCAAGGTATGCCAACAACAGTATTCCAGTTTTTTTTACTTACACACTAAATGAATAGACTGTCTACAGAGGATTATTTGGAACAAAATGCTTTGATCTCCTCGATCACCAATTTTTTTACACTTCCCTGTCAAATCCCGTATTTACTACCCTTTGCTATAACGTGGGTGTAAAAGATTACCAATATTCGTCGTTAAAAAGTATAGACGTTTGAGTATGTGTAAAGACATAAAGTAGGTATCAAAACTGATAACGCATTAAAAAAGTGCATGATCAAGGACCTTTATAGTTCATCCTTGGAATGTAAATACCGTGCCCCATGGAAGTACATATGAAAGACTTTAATATTTAGTATTCTTTAATGATACCCAACTTGGGGTGAAATCTCAGAAAAAATGGTCCACCATTTTTTTTGACTACGCCACTGGATTCTACGTAAAAAGTAAATACGTAAAATCGTTCGAAATACAAAACGATTATTTAAACAAAACAAAAATAAAACATCTAATAATTCTAATACAAATCGGCAATGAATTCAGATTTAAATAATAATTATGATTGAATTTGTGTCCAATCCAAATTAACAACCACATTTATTAACCTTCAAATTTAAATTATACAGGGTGACCCATCATTACCAATACAAAAGACCCCACATAACGTTATTTACATCCATTAGTGCATGGGTGGAAGATTGGGACGCAAGACATTAGACCACGCACTTTAGGCCGTGGACACAGATCGAGACGCAGACATTGGGGCGTGGACATTAGGAGGCAGATATTAGGACGCGTACATTGAGATGCAGACTATAAATAGGTCGAAACAGTTTGACATGAATGCTTCTGTTTCATAGCCACCTTAATTTTTTGGCTAATTCTGCATTATTGTCATTTTTAAGGCGGTAATGATTAATAACTGAGCAAGAGTAATACTCATTCCGAAAATTAGCAACTTAGCATTACATATATATACCTCAAATTCTAGAAATCTGTAATTTCATAATTATTTAAAAAAAATGTATTGCTTGGAATCTCTTCAATCTCTCTTTGAAATCACTTCAGGAGTCAATATTATCATATTACATTAGCATAATTGCACAACAAATGGATACAGAATATATGTAAAGAAAAAAATTGTTAGGTAACAGAAACAATTGTGTAACATAGCTGTGTTACATGATATTGAATGACCCCAAAAGATGAACTCTCTTCATTGCTCACATTCAACTGAGAGAATAATGTATTATAATCTTACCTACAAATGTCTGAGCTAACAGTTCATTTTGTAAAAGAACAGAATTCAGATGATGGTAGGTATCCTCCAAAAGAGAGACTTTACTAAAATCGCCTTCATCAAAGTAGGCATGTGTGATAAGTGCCATTTTCACTTGTATGTGACCATATAAAGGTAATTTGCTAAGTACGCATACCGACTTTTGCACAGTTCCCCTTGTTATGTCGGCGGTTCGATTTTTAATTTTCTACAATTTGCACAATTTGTAAACATCGCATTTCATTAGCACCAACTTACATCAACCGGTATTTGTCTATAGCAAGAGATACCGTACACAGTTTTCTTGGGATCGGTTAAGCTAGGTAGATGAAAGTAAACCGTATCCTCATCATAATTATGTGAACCATCGGGTAGTGCGAGTGTCGGCAAGTACTTCCATCCCTGCGGGCATTCGTTGGGCGCATCTGGCACCAGAGCAGGAAAGGAGTATTCCACCTTTGCAAACACAAGCGTAAATAAAAACGTTTTATAAGCCAATTCGACGTTAATCTTACTTGGCAACCTTTTTTGTGATGAAAACCGACAACAATTACATATAATATCGGACCGTCACAATTACTCATTTTTCGAAGTTGTTGAAAAATCAATTTTCCACATTAATTGCTTCAAATCGCCATACAAAAAAAACTCTTCATTGGAACTATTCAATGCGCAGTGGAACTACTGTTGCTGTAAACGCCATTAAGGCTTTGGTTTTGTTTGTGGAGAACATAACATTAAATTATTCGGTAAGTAGCAGATTTTATAATTCATTTTTTATCAATACGCTTTGCGGTTAGCGCAATTTAAATTTGTACATTGGAATTTGTGGACAAGGCGCGTCAATCAATAAGTGCGTTGGTGTCGTAGAACTTTAATTATGAATTATGAAATTATACATTCCTTTAACGGAATTTCAAAATACGAAATTTTTAAAGATGGAAGCAATTTTAAACGAAGCTAATGCGTATATTGGCTCTTTTTGTTTTTTTAAATGTCTTTGGCCTACACAGCTGTTTGTAGTTCAAAGTGCTTTCGCTGTGTTTGCGAATTGAGATCTTCTCTTATATATATGATTGAGATACCAACCTACTGAGTACTACGATGGTTACCAAACTAATAAAAGTATCATGCGGTTCTCAAACGTTTTTAAACTTTCAGACTGAAAATCGTCGAAATCTGCAATATTGCAAATAGACCGCCAACCACGAACTTATAAATTAAGATGGACTGCTAATGCTGAATTGACAAATGACATCTACATGGGGGCAGCCATGATGTGCACTCACTTGGCGCGAAATTCAAATCAACTATAAACAAGCATTAACCTCACGTTTTCTAAATAAATTATTGTGGCACATGTCATTATTTTATAAGTTCGTGCCGTCAACACTCCTAGATTTTGTATATTTTCTTCCTTTACTGTTAAACACAACAGTTAATGATAAAGAACTACTTAAGTAACTAAGCTTATCGAAAAGTTGTAGGTACATAAGTAGTCAATATTTGAATGAAGATCCACAACACCTGTCTCTTTCACTGCGTGTCTCTACAATGACATCTTCTGTAAATTGCCTGGTTCAAATCTAATCAGCGGACAAAAATTATCAATATTACATTATATTATATAATAATATATTCCCAATACATTTTTTATGATCTTTTTTTCCTGTTCCTAATTTTTTTTACCTCGATTTTTACTGGTCAAAAGAGTTATAGATTTTTATAACTATTAGGTAGGTACACATCGATGAACTATAATTGACAACGATTTGCACTCATAAGCGGTGCGAGGCCCTTTCGACTGGACTGCCCGCGATTGGGGAGCTGCGTATTTATCACTTCTCTATTTTGTTAACAAGCAGTATTCCACGAAGTTGAAACCCGTCCATATTGAAAAAATTGCTGTGGTTGGCACACTTGCGCATGCGCGTTCTATCCAAAAACTTTTCAGCTCTTCCTTTTATGTGTAAAAATAATATACCTAATATATCTTGTATATATATAATAGTATGTGTACCAAATTTTTTTCTACAATGACATCTTCTGTAAATTGCCTGGTTCAAATCTAATTAGTGGACAAAATTAGCAATATTATTATTATATTATATAATATTATGTATATTAACAATAGTTAAAAAAAATGCATGTGTGCCGCATTTTTCGATAGCTGAACGAAATACTTATAGATGGATAGGTACATACCAATGACTTGGATTTGCGGTTCACGTTCATCGGAGAAACCGTAAATCTCATTTTTTGAGACACAAGATATTACTGTGCCTCGATCAGCAATTAAAAACGGTCCTTTAATTGTCGACCCAATTATAATATTCAGCAATACCTAACTATACAATTCGGTTGGGTAAGTACAAATGCGTTCTTTGTATACCTTTTGCAAGGAATTAGGTACCTTTCAGTGACAGTATGTACGATGTATCCACAATATGTGTTATCTATGGAATCACATTTATTGATCAAGTATATAGGTTCAGTTTCACTGAAGCATGAAGCACTGGCTTTAAGATTAACTTCAATGTCTACCCTTCATCAAAGATTGTGCAATAAATTACCCTTCATTCCAGAGCTACCTACCCTCAACAACATATGACTGGTGGTCATGAAAGATATAATACTTTTTTAGTTCTCAGTTGGTCTCTAATCCTACTGTAGAGGGCATCGACGTGGTAGAAAACTCCTGGAGCAAGTACCTACCGCATATATGACGCATTTTACCGCAAATGTCATTATTTATCATGGTAGTAAATACAAAAGACAGGCGGCCTTTGTTTTCAGTACTGAAGCGTGATATATTTATTTCTTATGCAAATTATTTTTTTAATTGTCCCACCAAATAATAAATTAGAAATGTACCTCTTGCACAGGTGGTCCCTATAATCTAGTAAGTGGTTGCCATATTTCTAGGCGGACTGTCTCAAATTTCTTGTTGTGGAAAAAATGAGATATTTTAACAATCCTTACGACGATTTCTCCCCGGAAGCTGCAGAAGGTCTGATTTCGTCAAACAAGGTAAGTACGCCCGCTATCCTGCAACAAAGTTGCCATATAAATAATAGTTGCATCCAGATTCGACAGTAGCATGTGCTGTAGAATCAAAATGGGATTGGACGATGAGAAAGTTAGATCACTTGGACTTCAGTGATAATTCGGTATATACCGGAACTTCAGGAATTGCGCTTTTAAAGTTACTCAAAGATCCCAATGGGGAGCAGAATCTGAAGGTAGTATTCTTTCCCCAAGATTCTCTAATCAACTTGACTTAAAGGAGGTAAAGCATCTGCTGAACTTAAGGAAGCTGAAGTACAAACGATACTCGTTTTTGTGTGGAGATGCGGGCCCTCTAGCTATCGGGGCAGTTGTCTGCCATAGGCTCAAAGAGAAGCAAGAATCCGAAAAACTGATAGAAAAGTTGTTTCTTTTACTTTTACCCTAAATATAGTACATTGTTGAAATTGCAGATTATTGGCTATGTCTGATAGTGCTGTTAACAGTAAATCAGATCTTCCGAATGAATATTTGTATGGCCGCGCAGGGTATTTGTACGCATTATTGTATGTCAATAAAAACATTCACCCACCTCCTATTGGCAACCAACTTATTAGAGAGGTAAGTTAATCCGTCGGTTACCAACTCCAAATGTAACATTTTTACAGGTGATAGAAGCCATTTTTGTTTGTGGTAGAACTGAAAGTCGTCTGGGAAAATTCAAGTGCCCCCTTATGTACCAATGGCACAATAAACAGTACTTGGGAGCCGCACATGGTGTTTCAGGTATACTGTATCTTCTTCTGCAAGCTAAGGAACATTTAAGTGAAACAGAATTGAATAACTTTATCAAGCCTACTGTGGACTATTTGGCAGATTTAAAGTAAGCCACGGATTTAAATATTATATATGTGAGAAAATATTTTAGATATTCAAGCGGGAACTACCCATCCTCTTTGGGCAATGACGATGATAAATATGTTCAGTGGTGCCATGGTTCTCCGGGATTTGTGTACTTGTTCAGTACTGCTTATAAGGTATTACGGCTTGTTCTTGCGGTGGAAACTGATATTTTTGCAACAGGTGTACGGAGATTCAAAATATTTAGATTTAGCCCTACAAGCAGGCGAGGTTGTCTGGAAAAGAGGACTATTAAAGAAGGGTTATAGCATTTGCCATGGCGTTTCCGGAAACGCGTATTGCTTTCTCGAATTATTTCAACTAACACAAGTAAGCATATATGAGAAAATCCTTGGTAATAGTAAATAAATTTCTTGTAGGAGATGAAGCATCTATACAGAGCAATCAAGTTTACAGAATGGTGTGTCACTTACACAAGGGAGCACGAAGAATATTCACCCGACCGTCCCGCGTCGTTATTTGAGGGAGTTGGGGGTCCGATGTATCTACTCATGGACATCCAAGATCCAGCGAACTCGAAATTTCCGGGTTACACACTTTAGATTGTCAACATCTCGTGTATCAATTTATTATTAATAAATCATTCAACTAATATTTTTTAATAACATTAATTAGTAATAATTATCTTATGTACATATTGGCTAAAAATATAAACAATATCAAAAGATTAACATAGGATTTTTAGTTCTAAAGAGAAAGTGAATACTGCTTTTCAATTGTGTTATTTTCTTAATAGAGAAATTAGAAACCATCGTAGTCAATATGTATAACAATTACATCGTTTATGGTACAAAATATGGTTTAGTTGGACTAAATACGATGTTTTCTTTGGAGTCCAAGCCAAATTACGTTTTATAGTCAACGTATCAACTTTTCTTGTGATATGTAAAAATACACAGTTTTGAACTACATAAATATTTACATATGTCCACATATTTAAAAAGCCAAAAATTTTAAAATGATCAAGATTCACTCATTTTTACAACATTACATTCGAGAGAAGATTCTCAACTAAATACAAGACATGCATAAAATATGGCACAAACATTCAAACAATTCAATAAATGTAATGTCATAAAAACCAGATAAACAAATCTAACTATCAACAAGGCACTCCATCAGGTCTGGACACTTGTCAATCTAACCGTTTCGTTTTTACAAAAAATATTGTAATTTGTTCTCAGTATTTACATCGGCTCTTAATTACAAAACTATTCCCACAAGCCTTTCTGTCCATATAATTACAATGTACAAATAACAATAACTATAATAATATGTTACATTTGAGCTAATTAGCTGATAAAATTATGGTAAGACAAACTTCTTTCAAAGTTAAAAGGAATCGGTAGCGTCATCATTTTTCGAAATTGTTAGTTCAGGTCACAGTTCCCTAAAAGATTTCGGTAGCAAAAAATTCTATAAGAATATCTTAAAGCAATGGAGTTTGCGGCAAAATGTACACATTTATAATATAATTGCACAATTTTACACTTTTTCGACAAAGTTCCTCAATGCCAATAAAGCACTAATCTACTTCTCCAAGATCCCAATGAGTACGAAATTGTCCGACACCAAGTATAGAATGACTAACCAATCTCAGTCGGTTTTCTGCTGACAGTAAAGTTCTTTCAGAGATTTCAGCTCGTCTATAAGGGCTTTGTTTTGATTTTCTAGCACAGCTACTCTGTTTTCTAGGCACTTTATATACTCTTTCTTTTTTCGCCTGCATTCGCGAGCCGCCTCTCTGTTTTTCAGCAGCCGCATCTCCCGTTTTCTCGCTTGGTCTTCTCCTCCGGGACTGCTCAGGCCTCCACTTTGTGCCACAACTGCAAATTATCATCTATTGAAACATATCTTAGGTGAGAAAAGATGGTAGTTTATGCAGCAACATAGTGTCTGCATTTTTTATTTGTGAACTCACTTGGTGACTGTATTTTTTTCTGTGTCTGGGATTAAAAGAACTAATAAATAAGATATAAAAAAATGGAATGCGCATAAGAATTCAGAAAAAACAATGTTAATTACCCCCTGTGGGTGGGGTGGGTCCAGTGATGTAACCTAAGAAATGATTCCATGCTTTTAATCGCATCTTCCAGTTTTCCATTAAGGCTTGCACTCTTCTAAAGAATGTTAGGACATGGAGAGGTTCTTGGATAAGCAATTTTTTATATGGTAGAGGAAGGTAAATGATAGGAATGGACTTGGAGATTAACTGGGGGGAGAGAGGGAGGGTGTTGATTACAGAGAACAGAAAGAGGAACAAATTAAGGAACGATTGAAAATGTGAGGGAGAGATAACGACAGAAGGAAAAGGCAGAAAACTCAAGGCATGGGAGATACGGAGGCAGACTGGAAAAATTAAATGGGGAGGGAGACAGAGTAAAAAAACAGGTTTAAAGGACAAAAGAGAAAAGAAAGGGAAACTATATTAAGAGAAAGAAAGAAGAATAGAGAGAAGGATAGAGAGCAAGAGACAATGGTGAATTCTTGTTTAGAATCTTCCGAATGTTAAGGAGAAGTGCGCATTCCATTAGAAGGGCAGAGAGAAAAAAGGATGGAAAATAAACCATAGATACAACATAAAAGATGGAAGAATGGGATAGGAGAAAAATAGATGGACCAACGAAGACGGGAGAAGCGAGAGATCGTGAATTGGTTCTTTGAGCCAGGTAAGACATACGTACGGAAATTGTTTGCTGTGAGAATAATTGCAACCCCCTATACCATGGACCGAATTATTAATATCAATGTTCCAGAAATCGCGCTTAAGGTAATTTTTTTCACGATACACAACAGAATATTTGGAAAAACACCAACCTGGTACAAAAAATTCCTGTCCACCTTGAGCATATTGCACAATAGCACCACCCGCCGTCGAGTTAGTCATAGTAAGTGTGTGTATGCCGGGACCTCCGTCACCGCTTGATATCTGTATGGCTCCAGCAGGTATCACTGCAACAAACGTAGAAATTGAATTATGTGTTTTATACCGTATTCTTACAAGCTTTGATCGATAGTGAAGTTTTTGTTAAAAGAATATAGTGATTTTATGAGTAGCTATGAGATGAATTGCGCATGCAAAACCACACCAACTAATGCAAAATTATGACAGGCAGTTAGGTCTTATGCTAATGGATGTACTATTTAAACCTTCACTGTCTAACCTGTTGTACTGTTAGTACTTGGTGCATTACTAATCTATGACATGAAATTAAGTGCTGATGGGTTATTCTAACTAACCTGTGTGGTATGGGATCGAATGAGAAGACAACTCACTGTCTGCCTCCGAGGATGTCTGCTCAACCTTGCCCTCTGCGAAAATTACAATTTAGTACTACTCTAACGTCCAGGTTATGGTTTGTTGTAAATCTGCCCAGTGCTTATTGAGTTATCCCATACCACATTTTCGAAACAAAAAAAAAACTATTGCAAATTTAAAACCTAACCTAAACGTGCAGACTACAAGATATTTTTAAATCAAAATAAACACAACACGTTCGACATTAAGAGATATTTTAAGAATGTGAACAATATCGTTAATTGTTATTCCTGCACAATTATTGTTAAATGCTGTCAAATAGTCAAAATAACCACCTTCTTTATTGTCTTCAGCAAAGAAACACTCCGAATCTTCAGTCGAGTCAATATAATCACCCGATTTAATATGGATCATTCTGTAACTAAAACGTCAGTTCACTAATGATGTAGAGCACAAAAAAATATTCAGAATTGAAAATGTTAATTTCATTTCTCGATCAAGTTTATATTAAAATAGATTTGATAAATCTTAAAAAAATTACTGTGTATTTAATAAACAGCTGATAACCTGCGTATGAACCGAAACAAGTTTGTTTACAAAGGACCAGTAAGAATTTCCTTGTGTGCAACAATAATTTGTTTGAGAATATACAATTAACGGTCAACTTTTCCAAATAACTAGCCATTAACCATTTCATTTAATAACGACGGGCCGAAGTTCTTATAGTTATCCTTGTTTACTAAATATGTTTATTCGCGATTGAACATTAACATTTTTAACTATTACAGATATAGGAGTTTGTGATAGTGTTCTACATAATTGGGTCAGTCTCTCTCACTTCAAATAGTTGTGTAATAGATGAAGAATTATAACAGCAAAGGAAATGTATTGCAATAAAATCACTATCCATTCTACAATTGGAGAAGGTAATAATTATTAACTATCCAATTATAACGTGTGTCACCAATGAGTAGGTACGTCAATCATTTGCGCATAAGGGCACGCGATTTGCAAAATTTAATATCGGGGGAGGGGGGGGGGTCACTAATATAAATAATAACAAAAGTTTTGTAAATGCAAATTTTAAATTAAAAAAAATTGTTATTTCAAAACCCAACTCCATATTTTCATGTTCTCCAACGCCTTTTGGGTAACAATTCCTTGCAATACCTAACCTACATCTAAATATGTAATGTGTGCCAACTGAAAAATTATGTTGGTTGGTTTTTTTTATCACACTGTATATGATTTATTTACACTGCATTCACTATTTTGTTTTGTAACTTATGTTTTTTATTTTTGCCCGTTATTTTTAAGTGGGCCATACCCAAACTTCAAATTTACCAACAGAAAGTGGGGCACCAAATCTTTCAACATTATTATGTATTATAAAGATCTTGAAAGATAGTGAAGAATGCCCAAGAAACTACCATAAAATACCACATACATACCACAAAAGCATCAGACTGTACATGTAGTAGGGGTTGAATGTTCACTCCGCTAAGACCAAAAGGATTGGTTGTTGTTTTGCTGGTACAGCAATCTCGACCGAAACCCAGCTCGTAAGGTCAATAAAACATAAGAGAAAAGATACAAAACAAGTGGGCGTTGCTAGCGCATTCGACTTGCACTGATTAGTATATTTTGAAAGACATCACTTTCCTATGACAGATCAATTTACCGTTCGATATTTTGATTAGTGATTACACTAGTGTACTGTGTGTCCTATTTAAGTTGAGACGGCAGGGTATCTCAGCTGTTTTTAAAGATAGAAACTTCCAGTTTCCACTTTTTTGTGAAACTATTAGTACTACGAACAGAATCAATCTAGCTACATTTGTTTCTGAGATACAGAGTGAAAACGAAAAGTTTGCCTTTTTGGGATGTGATCGTATCTTACTACCCATGTAAGATAGAGAAAAGGTATAAACTGCCGATTTTAGATATTTTCACGTAGTTTTACGTACCCTGTATAACTTAACGTCAATTTCTTGCATTATTTTTTTAATAATAAAGCGCAACTGCCAAATTTTGAGCGAAAATTGGTAATTCACAGGAGCACCTAGTCTCAGTTGCATCCGGACAAACACATCGTTTTCATGTAGGGGCGTTTCTGGATTGTGGCCAGACAGTGACTGTCACTGACAAGCAGTATCAGGCTACGACAACTGCTTTGAATTGCATTGCATGAACCGTGACGATTTTTGTTTCCAGCAGACGGTGTAACATGCCATACTTCAGATCATACACTGGAATTGTTGGGTGAAAAATTTCCAGGAGACGAATTGTGAATTGGTCAGGTCCTGCGACGCCCTTAGATTTTCTCTGGGTGTAT